TGCCAAGCATCAACTTTTCTTTTTCAAAAAAAAATTCTTTGAAAACAGAAGAAGATCTAGATGATTAAAGTAACCACTGACTGTTGGTTTACGTAAAAAGAAGGCGGGACTTTTCTTCCGTAGTATTAATCGTGGGAACCGGTTCCGGAAAGGATTCTTCGCCCAGCTCTATCTCCTACACGATTTCTCCTTTGCCAGCAGACGATATTGATATTGATAAGGGGGCGGTTTGATGGATGGTATTTGAGCGGGATTTAAAAAAAATATAATGAATGTCATGTTCGTGTCAATCACTGTGTGCGGGTTGTTGTTTTGTGTGTGTGTGTGTGTGTGTGTGTGTGTGTGTGTGTGTGTGTGTGTGTGTGTGTGAGCGTGCGTGAGGGTGTGCGTGAGGGTGTTCGTGAATGTAAGTATGTTTGCACGTAATAACTTATTTTGCTTTTGTGTGGAATCAGGTGTACTATCGATCCGATTTATCGAAATCAATTGTCTTTCTTGACCTTATTAGACACCCATATAATTCATTAACGAGAACAATAATACGCTTGCTAGGAGAACAAGACACTCTTCCCTTAGAAAGAAAGAAAGAAAAAAGAATGAAAGAATGTGCCGTACCTGAAAACTTTTTGAGTACTCGATATCCTCCCCACTTGGGTGCCAGGAGTGAATCTCACACGTGTAGTCCTGCACTCCATGGATGTCCACTGCAGCGATTGTAATCTCTGATGATTGTAAGTACGACATTTTCTATACAATATAGGGATTTCCCTGAACGAAAAGACTGAATGACTTTCGAACGACTCAAAGATGAGTAACATAGTGGAAGCAAGATAAGAGTAGACTCTTGAAAATTGCAGTAAAGATAAAAGTTATGAGGTTCGACAGACAAAATTGGAAGTAATAATACGACTTGTATTATGGTGCGGTCAAAAACTTCGTGGGGCAACTTATTATTAAATTTCTCCTCAACCATCAATCATAAAGTCTCCAGCTTTTCACAATAACTTGAATCAATTTGTCTTAACACAGCAATGTTTTTGTGCTGTATTCTAGAAAATTCCTTTAAAAATACAAATAAAAAAGGCCAGCTCTATTCGGACTCGAGTCCGAATATAATCTTTATCTATTCGACCTCGGGTCGGAAAAAAATGTTTTATTTATTCGGACTCAGCTTCTTCGTGAGTTATGTGAGTGTAAGGAGGTTACATAATATAACTGTCGTCGGGGAATTTACTTAAAACTAGAATTAGAACTAGAATTACCTACAAGGACTGTGTAATTATGTCAAAAGTAAAAAGACAGCACTCTCTTTAGATCCACCCAATGGCAGTGTCTAAGTACTCGGCAACCCACAACTTGTGGTCTTTCCATCACTACTACAGCATCATCATTACTTCCACCACCATTTGTCTTTCCACATGTTTAATTTCATTTTGTTGTGTGTTGTAGTTTTTCCATAATTATCTTTTTTTAAAATCACACACAAAACCAACTCTTCGCAATCTCGTTGGTCGACCTAATTAACTTTGCCCCCGGCAAGGTCAACTCAACTTGGTTGTTCTGTTCAAACTAATGATCCAGGGGCAGTTCGGATAGATCTAGTAACTGGATATTTTAGCTCACGTCTCGATTGTTTTCATTATAATCGAAAAAAAAAAGGCATAAATGCTGAAAACATTCAGGAATAAGGGTCGGAAGAGACATCATGCTGGACTCATTTCAGAGTACGAATATAATTTTTTTCTATTCGGACTCGAGTCCGAATAGTCACTTCAAATAAATAATCCCGGTGGGAGGTTCCTACATATTTTAAAAGGCTTATAGCTGGGACAATATCGCTTTGAAAAGTAAGCTCGTCATTTTTTTTTTGTTGGTAATCGCAACATTATGCTTGATAAACTTCCGTGCAAAGTTTTGCCGCTAAAAAGTGCCATTGGTGAGCTGAGGTGTAGGCCATGTGCGTATGCAAAATGTGTGTGAGAAGTAGGGGCGGGCACGAGACGAGCCGAGTCTCGTTTCTCGCGAGAAACGGCCTTCCCGTCACTTCCCGGGCACTAAACTTCTGCTCGGTACCGAGACGTGATACTTGCTCGTTGGCTTGACATAACGAGTAACAGTAACGAGAGTGAGAGAGTGAGAGGCGAGAAATGACAACACAGACAGTGCCACACATCGCCGTGCCGTCCTATGAGTGAAACTGAAAGGGAGGGGAGAGGGTGGCGAGACAAGGCGAGTGGGGAGTTGATCAGGGCCTAGGCCTAGGTCGTCTCCCTACCTTCCTTCACAGCCTGCGCCTGCGCACCAGGGCAAGCCTAGTTTCTAAGTTTAGATCCCCGCAACGACCGGCCTTCTCGCTGAACGAGCGGCTCGAACTGCGGGGCGAGAAGAGAAATTGGTCACAAGACGAGAAGCATTGCTCGAGACTCGAGACACGAGACGGGAAGTATTTCTCGTTCCCGGGACCGGTCTCGGCGAGAAATAGGTCAGCTACTCGGTCTTCTTGCTCGGGAAGGAAAAAGCTCTTCCCGCTCGTCTCTAGTGAGAAGTGGGAAGTGCTGTGTGCAGTCCCATTTTCGCGTGACGATGTTTTATAATATTTTATATAAATTTATGAAGAAAATATTTATAAAACTATACTCCATTGCTGTGAAACATAATTAAATTAAGACAAATTGATAGCGGCTGTGTAAAGTATTGGTGACATTGATTCACCCGTTAAAGAGATATTTGAGGATAAGTTGCGCCACGCATTTTTGACCGCACTATATAAAATCAGTATTCGAATTCGTGGGGGAAATGGTTTAACAATGCGTTAAAAGTTGTCACAAAAGTAATATTAATAATAATAATGAAGATCATTTCTATAGCGCCCACTCCCGTGTAAACACAGCTCTAGGCGCTTTACATAAATGCATGTAAGAAAAATATTCATGCACGCGACACACACACACACTCACACACACACACACTCATATACACACAAACACACACACATATACATATACACACACACAAACACACGCATACACACTCACGAATACATAACACGCACACATGTATGCCAAACACACACATACACACACTCACACACACACACACACACACACACACACACACACACACGTACACACACACACACACACACACACACACACACACATCTACTTGCTTATCACACGCACACGATTACACATCGTCACGAAATGAGAATAAAATAATATATACACTGCAATTCACAAAATACATAAATGGATACATAGACATTTACATAACATTGTACTGAACATGAATCTACTGACTTAAAAAGGATGTCGTTAAATGTGTCTTTAAAGATTTTTTAAATTTAGACTCAGATGTTGTATGTCTCAAGGGTTGGGGAAGAGAGTTCCAAACTGACGGAGCAAGGTGGGCGAACGATCTTTCGGCTAATTTTTTACCGCCTTTTCTAGGAACTCGTAAAAGATACTGGTCGCCTGATCTTAGTGATCTAGATGGAACATAAATCTGGATGAGATCACTAAGATATGAGGGAGCTTTGTTATTGACACATTTATGACATAATATTGCAATTTTATATGACATTCTAGCTGACACGGGAAGCCAATGCAACGTTCTTAACTTGGGAGTAATGTGGTCCCTCTTCTTTTTCTTTAGTACAAGCCTAGCAGCATGATTTTGAAAACGTTGTAACTTGTGAAGAGAGGTATTTGGTAAGTTAGCTAGTAAAGCATTGCAATAATCGATGCGTGAAAACAAGAAAGATGACACGAGCGTTTTCAACGAGTGTTCGTTCAAAAACATAGACATATGACCAATTCTACGCAATTCACAAAATAAAATGGTACATAAATAATTGATATGATGTTCCATTGACAATTTTGAATCAAAATACACTCCTAGATTTTTTGCTTTGTTAGTAAAATACAGTGTTTCATTTTCAGTACAAATATGATCAATGTCTACGGGGATATGGCTTTTCTTTGGGTTACATAACAGAATTTCAGTTTTATTTTCATTAAGCTGGAGCTTATTATCAACCATCCACTTTTTGATGTCATCAATACACAGACCCATCGTAGTAAGCAAGGTTTCAACATCTGATGGTGGAACAGATTTATATAACTGTGTATCGTCAGCGTACATGTGATAATTCATATTGTGCTTTCTAATCACAGCTCCAAGCGGCTGCGTATATAACGTATACAGGATTGGACCCAATACTGAACCTTGAGGCACTCCAAAGTCTAGCTTAAAAATTGACGAAAGAGAGTCGTGCACAACCACAGATTGTGTACGACCAATCAGGTAGGACCTAAACCAGTCAAGAACCCTGCCAGACAGGCCAAACGTGTTGAACAATCGTTCAATAAGAATAGTGTGATCTATAGTGTCAAAGGCAGCACTAAGATCAAGAAGAGAAAGAATTGATATTTTGTTCTCATCTGCCTCACACAAGAGGTCGTTGTATATTTTCAATAGCGCAGTTTCTGTGTTATGAAATTGCCGATAGGCAGATTGATATAATTCATATAAATTGTTTTCTTTTAAATGATTCTTCAATTGAACCAAAACAACTTTCTCCAAGATTTTTGATAAAAAGGGAAGGTTGGAGACAGGTCTGAAATTCTTGAGCTCCTCTGGGGAAAGATTTGATTTTTTGAGAAGGGGAATAACTAAAGCATGCTTAAAGAGTGATGGTACTACTCCAGACTGAAGAGACTCATTAATGATGGAAGTTATAAATCCAATGACACTATCAAGATGTGTGATGAGCAGTGGTGTTGGAATGGGATCAAGACTACATGTTTTATGGGGTGATGACATTATGATTGATCTTACATCTTCTTGTGTTACACGTACAAATTCATTAAAGATTACCCCAGAAAATGTTTCAAAACATGGTAGTTTATGCATAGTCGTGTCAATTTTTTTCCTAATCGTGGATATCTTGTCTCTAAAGTATTGACCAAAAACATCAGGAAGGTCACTTTTAGGTACATTCGTGGGAAACTTGTTGCTGGACGGATCTTTCTTACTAGACAACTGATTTGTTATACAAAATAAAGCTTTAGAGGTGGTACATTCATTAATTTTTCTGTTATAGTACATACATTTGGCAGATGTTATTAACGATTTCACTATGTTGTTACAGTGTCTATAAATGTCCTCATGAATTTTCAGCTTTGTTGATCTCCAGCGTCTTTCAGCTCGTCTGCGTTCCATTTTAGATTGTTTAATTTCCAAAGTCATCCACGGGGCAGAAGGTCGATCAGTCACTGTTCTGGATTTGACTGGTGTATGTTTGTTTAGTAGTTCACACATCTTGGAGTTGAAAATGTCTACCTTCTCGGAGGTTGAACCGTGTATGAGTTTTATAAGCTGACGAATGTCCGCTCCAAACTTTTCATGATCAATGTCCATTTTCCGGGTTGTTATTTTTCGGTATCTCAGTTTGGGCTTCCCTATACGAGTTATTTCAAAGGACACCACGTAGTGATCAGATATGCTTTTGTTCTTTACTTTTATTTCACCGATTTTATCGACACTGTCCGTAATCACCCAATCTAATGTGTGTTTTTTAATGTGAGTGGGGACATCAATGTGTTGATAGAGACCACGAGTCTCTAGAATAGATTTGATAGCTTTTACATTAATGTCTAGGGTATTTTCAAAATGTAAATTAAAGTCCCCTAAAATTATAGGCCGAGTCTTTTTGGTGGTATGTAGGTCTAGTAAATTTTGGAATTCTGAGAGGAACATGCCGGTGGTCAATTTGTTTTTCCTGTTTGGGGGCGGTCGATAGAGGACGATGAAAGTTGTTGAGTGATCCTTGATGGTAGTTAGGAATATACATGCCTCAAATGATTTATATTCTCTAAGTGGTGTGCACACTGTGGTGATACAGCTTCTAATGATAGCACAGAGCCCACCACCTTTGCCTGTCAGTCTGGGAATGGAGTGGATGGAGTAGCTTGAAGGTGTTAGCTCGTGCAGGAGGACGTTGTCACCAGTAGGGCTGAGCCATGACTCGGTAATGAATAAAATGTCACTATTCGATTCAACCGTCAGATCATTCAAAAGTGTTGTTTTGTTGCGGGCAGACCGTGCATTGAGCAACGAAACCTTAAAATGATGAGATTTATCTTGTATTTCAAGTCTAGTGTCAATTTGGATCAGATTGTCAAAGTTGTCTGGTCTAGAAAGTAACATTTATATTACGACCAAATGGGTTTGTCATACTTGCTTTGACGTAAGAATGTTTACGTACATTTGTACGGATTTACAGGAAAATGAGGTATTCGTCATCAGTATCTGTGCTTTTATGTCCGTTTGTCGGCATAGTAATGATTTAGTTGTTGGATGAAAGACACTGCTCGAACTTTCAAATCAAATGCACGAGAGGCAAAAACGTTTTCTTAATGTTAAGACATACATTTTCCAATGTTTTGAAGTGGTTGCATAATAACCTTTTTTGGGGGTCATTGCAACTCTCATAGACCGAAAGCATTCTTGCCAAAACGGTTACCTCACATATTGCTGAATAAAATACAGATGCTTTTAAACGAAAATCTTGTACTCCCTCATTGTCACAATTTTGACAGTTTCAGGGACGGTCTGCTTTAGCCCGTCTTTAGGGGCCAACGAGGGCAAAGCGGGATACAGTATACCAGCAGAAGAATGGAAATATTCTTCTATAATTATTGTGACACGAAGTGGTGGAATCGGGCGCTCGTCAATTTCAACAGAGTTATTGTCATCATCTTAAAGCCTGTTCATTTGCCGTGCTTTGCGATTGAAGGAGGTGGGGGTCGCCTGGTGTCAGAGAGGTAAAATTAGCGAGAGAATGGCCGCCAAAGTTTGGTGACTTCCATAGTTTCAGAGTCCTTGGAAACTGAAAATGTATATATTTTTGTGCTTTTAAACGTTTTGCTGTAAAGTCCGCATTGAATGTGTCTTTAACCTCTTCGCTGCCGCACCTGTAGAATTTACGGGCCTGAACCGTGTAGCGCTGTGCCTGTGGCCCGTTGAATATACGGGACTGTGACAGGGGTTGTTTTGATACAAATTATAAGGGAAGTTACTGCTAAAATCTTGTAATTAATATTGGGGTACCTTCCGTTTATGTTTACCTCCATTTTCCCCCCACTTGAAAGCGTCAGATTCAGATTTTATTTCGAAGAGAAGATTAGAACTAGATCTAGATCTAACACATCTACCACACAAAAATGATTTACTGGCAGTATACACATATGGGCTTATATGTACATATATTATAATATGTACAGATTGTATGAGTATTGTATAAGGTAGGAAAAGCCTCTTGTCACTCCTTCGTTACCTGCAGACACTCACATAACATGTGTTCCCCTTTTCTTGGGTTCAGCTTATCATTACTCGAATGTGTGTTGTTTATGTTGTTTGGTGGTGTTGTTTTTGGTATCATGTCGTTTTCTCCAAGTATCTTTCAATGATATTCCCTCAAAAGTATATCAATAGAGATGTTGTTCAATGTAGAATGTACCTGCAGAAATTCATGAGAAAATATTCATAAATGTAAAAAGTTAAAGGAGGTAGAGTGGTGTCACCCCTGAGCAGTCTTGGTGCATGGCATTTCCGACGGCACAGGGGTCTATTTACCTGCGGCTTTGAAGGGGTTAAATTAATATAAATCGAACTCGCATGTTTATATACTATGGTGACAATCCTAACCATTACATTACACATTTTGGTATTGTGCTTGAAACGACATGAAATCAAGCAAAGAACAAAAACTAAACTGAACTAAACTAAAATTAAAACAAAAAAGCCAAACAAAACAAAACAAAAATTGACTCACGAAGAAAGCCAATTTCGTCTTCTGCCAATTCGAATTCGCACTGGTCCGGACTGAGACATCCCTGAAGCGTCACGTCATAGGGGAGGGGGGAGAACCCAGAGGTCAAGGGGCTGCCACTTGCCAGTGTCAGTGAATACACAACGTCGTCGTTGAAGATGCTAATTATAGAAACAGTCTCTTTGGTGATGTTTTCGGAGTTGTCTGCAGAGAAAAAAAAAGTTGTCGTAAGTTAAACTGCAGTATCTTGTTTCGAAAAGAAATACATTTTTGTGGACAGTGGAAGAGAAACAAGCGGGACGTTTGGATGAAAGTGAGTCCTGGTTACAAACTACAAGTTAATTTCATAATGTTATATTATGTTTTTTATTTTTTTTTATTTAGCAGTGGTTTTACGGCACTCGCAACTGCATAAGGTCATATGAGCGCCAATCATGTGTTATATGAAATGAAAATGATGAAATGGTATAGGTTATTGCCCATATCAACACTATTAGATTATTTAAGAGGCAGGACCTCCAAACTTAACATTCATTTCCGAAAAAACGGAGCCAAGAGGGAAATTCGTGCAAAATGCCCCTCCTCAAGGACACAACGTCGGACCGAGCTGAAGCTCGAACTCCCGAACCTGTATTATCACGATTACCTTCATATTATGTAGAGTTGGTGGTCAACCTTAGTGGTGTTGTAGGCCAAAGTAAGCAACTTGCCATACTTTGCGGATTATCAAGGTTCGTAACCGAGAGAAGACCGAAGTTTTTTCTTGTTTATAAACAGCCAATGTGTCTATAAACAAAGTACATGTACTATCGTGTTGTTGTTTTTTAAATTCTAACCAAACAATTCTCCCAAAAGACTGATGTCCTGTAGAGAAATAAGAACTCTGACGTCGAAACGACATACAGTGCTATTTGTTGGTTCTAGTAAGGAGTCAGACTTTGGCCACAACAGAGGAAGAAAGGCGTGTGTTTCAGTCAAGGTTTGAAATACATCCAGACCGGAGCTTGCCAGTCTGAGCGATTTGTTAATTTTGGTGAGCGGTTTGGGGTTTCGGGGAGGGGATTGCTCGGACTGGGACAGGTGTTATTAAATGCCCATCTTAGAAATGTATACACGTAGGTGAACAGCACATAAATATTAGCTAACGAGGTGCGTTAAGCCAAAATAGGACAGACCCGATTTTTGTCGAGCAGGGCAAAAATTCGACCTGGTCGTTCCCTGAATGCATGAGCAGGTCAAAGGTGAAGGAATGCGTACCAGTAATATCAACTCATGCACGGTTTTTTGAAAAAAAATGGTGAAGCATTTTTACATGCATTTAAACCAGTGTTGTATGCTTGGACTTAGTTAATATTGAGACGCTAATAACGAATAAGACATAAGATTTTTTTTATCGGAACCACCGCGAGCACCCCATCCCCCACAAAAAAAAAATCAATAAACAAACCCCGCACCCCAAGTTGATCCATGATCTACGCACTAGGTCAAGCACTTTCAAAATGGGGGGGGGGGGGGGGGGGGAGGGCGGTTGGGGGTTATAGTTGTACACTTTACTTTTATCATTAACGTTATTATATAGTTGAGGGCGCCATAAAACACTTACCAAAACAAAAACCCGAACAAACAAACGAACAAAACAAAACCTTACCTGAGTCAAAGATGATGTGCCGGTAGTACACTTTGGCAGTATCTTCAGAAGCGTGGTGTACCCCCGAGCCTGCGCTTCTCTTGCGCCTCTTGAGTTTTTCGTCTGCAGTAGTCGTCGTCCCTTCAGTCCCCGTCTCCAAGACCTCCGTGGGGGTGGTGGTGGTTGTAACTTTTGTATCATCAGACTCTGAGCCGTCTACAATATTCGTAGCGAAATCATCTCCGCCACTCTCCGGAAAGCCGTGTCGGAATAAAGAACATCGGATCTTGGCGTCCTCGGTGAGATACGCCACAATTTTCCCTGGGTACGTTCCTGCTCGGACTTTCGTCTTATCTCCTGGAAGTTTCGCGTGGACCATTAAACATTGGAGGAGAAAGACTGGTGATGCCAAAAGCAATGGATAAAGTACCTTTGTTGGGGTCATGGTTATTACACGAAGTAAGTGTCTTAGACGAACATAAATAACTTCTCAAGTGTCGGTGTGTCTTATCCGCAGCTTGGCGTGAAACTTGAAAATATTCTGGAAAGCATATTAACGATACAAATCATCAGAAACACGTCATTGATAACGTATAAAACTGAGGAGTTAAAACGCAATACAAGTATGAGAGCATACTTTCAGAGACGTAATTCTGATTCATACCTGTCGAATTCACGTGATTGTATAGCATGACAAAATCATAGTTACAAAGACATTTACTATAGTGTTATATTGTGCCCCAGCCCTCTTACTTCCGGCGCTGCTCAGTGGCGATGAGGCTCTTACAGAATGAACTTTTGATAACAAAAAAACATAAAACTAATTAAATTTGCGGATGATTCCACTCTACAAGGCCTTATAACAACAAATAAGAATGAATACAGGGACGCGGCAAATGTTTTTATAAATTGGTGTGATGACCACTTCATTTTACTAAATGTAAAAAGACAAAGGAATTAATAAAAGACTTTAGAGTAAAAAAAGACCTATTGCAACAACTGTTTATTAAAGATGAGGAGGTGGAGGTGGTACGGTAAGCTCTTGGTATAACAATTGATAACAAACTTGACTGGCATCCCCACGCTGCTCTTGTGCATAAAAAGGTAAATCAAAGAAAGTTCATTTTAAGGAAATTAAGAAACTTCTGTGTCGATAATAAGATTATGTCCCTTTTATACCATTCTATGATTGAATGCTTGCTATTATTTTGTATTTGCTGCTGTGCTGGGAATTTTAAGGTGCAAGATTAAGAAAAATTTGACAGAACCATTAAGAAAGCCAGTAGGATCTCCGGATATGATTTTACTAGAAAAGATTAATTAGTGTATAACAATAAAAGTATAAAAAGATTTTTAAAAAGCATTAAAACGACCCATCACACCCCTTTCCACGCAAATTGTCAGATCACGCAGCGCAGATATATACTTCAAAAAACAAAAACAAAAATATATATCAAAGAAGCTATTTTTACTGTATAGCATAAGTCTATTGTCAGAATAAGCATAGATATGTATTGCTCTTTAGAGTGTGTATCTATATAACTCGAAAGGTCTTGTAATTAAATTCCTGCGTGTGGTTGAATTATGTATCTGATGTGATATGTACATTTTGTCAGCTTTACAGCTCTTTTCATATTGAAATTTAAGTTTTTATGTATACTTGCATGTGTTTTACGGTTCTGTACAGCCAAGAAAAATTACCCTCTGGGATAATCAAGCATTACCTTATCTTATCTTAGCTTACTTCATTCATTATTCCTGTTTTATTGTATTACAGTCTAACCCCCCCCCCCCCTTCCAGCCTTCTCGCTTGAAATAGTTTACTTTTCTTTCCTACTTACTGCAAGTAAACTTAAATGAAAAATACTTTTCATATTTTGCAAAATCTGATCTACACCGCAATACGTCATATTCCTAGGTTAGCTTTTGAACATTAAAAAAAAAAGACTTCTCGAAACAAAGCACCAATATAAACCTAATATCGTAAAGGTGAATGTTCTGAAACAAAACAAATGAAATACAGGTCGAAATAGATCGGTTTTCCTTTTAAGGAAAAGTAATAAAGGTTCCAACAGAATTGATTCCAAGTTACCTTTACTCCGAACAAATTCACAATTATTCAATTAAATTTCAAACACATCAGAAGCGAGTTTGCCCTGTGGTTGCCCGCTCAAAGTACTGAGAAAGACGCGCAGATTCTGAGTGAATGTGTTGAGAGAGTCAGCTTGTCAAGACGCCAGCTCATCACGATGACGTGCAATGTGTGGGCCCATCGTTCTATTGCCAGCACAGAGCGGTCACTGAGTGCCTGTATTTTTTGGTTAGTGCTTTACCGCGCTCGCGACTGCAAAAGGTCATATGAACGCGCGGGAAACATTAAACATTATCAGTTGGTACGAAATTGTGAGTTTTGTTTGGGTGGCGGCCAAAGCCTGCTCTTACCGGTTTTGGACCATCAAGGAATCTTTAACGTGCGCAGCTTGCACATGGGACCTCCGAGATTTTTGGCCCGTACCTACCATAAGATCACGGGTGTGGCTAAAAGACAGAAGTAAGAAGGAGCCAAGGAGTAGCAGTAGAAAGGCTGAAGAAAGAGCCAGGAGCCCAGAGGAGGGGGCAAAGAAGGTGAGGGGGTGGGGGCAAAAAGTGGAGACGAAAGCAGACGACAGAACATGGTTAGCGAACAAGAAAGGAAGTGAAAGGCAAAACAATTAGAGAAGAAAATTTTCCGCCGATATCTGAACACCGTAACCTCTCGACCACAAGAGCTCTGTAGTGTCTGTCTACACTGCTTTTTTTTTTTTTTAACTCTTTAATTCTTTGAGTAAGTGCATTTTGCACGTTTGAAGACGGGTTGTTTTGGGGTACATTAATAAAAGAAGCATAACTTCCGTATTCATATAGATATTTAAATTTCGCTTCCTGAAATTTAAAAACACAGGCTAAAACAGGCCAGCTATAAAATATGCAAATTCGTGCTTTTGATTAAAACTTGTGTATAAGGATTCACGACGAGCAATGTTGTTGACTTTGGTCTGTTGCTGATCCTACATATGAGTTAGGTACACTAAGAGTTTTCAGGACGTAAAACGGCTCCTCAGGCAATGTCTGACGACGACCAATTCATTAGCAGAGGATATTATTTCCCCAGCGAAATTAAGGAATTTGAAAAATTTTAAGTTGAGTATCTTGTGGCTTCTGCTGTGGTCGAGGAGACTAATTCTGGCAGAGAAAAGTTTACCTCATATTTGTGAACATTTAAAAGCTTCACTTTCACGTGTGGATGTGCGCAGCTTGCGGGCTTCTCTCCTGGTTTCAGCATTTCTTACTATATAAACTTCATATGCTTTGCTGCCCACGGTGACTGCTGCTCTCCAGCTGGGTCTGCCAGGAGCTGGGCTCTCCCATGTTGAAGGATTTATTGTTGAAGTCCTTCAGATACATTTTAGGGAGCCTTTGTAGCGCTTTTTAGGTGCACCAACCTTGCGCTTCTCTGATGACAGTTCAGAATAGAGCATTGCCTTTGGGATTCTGAAGTCAGACATTATTACAACATGGCCAGCCCAGCGAAGTTGAGTCATGAGTCCTTTTTTAGTCTGTCATGTAGCCGATACATCAACTGTCCGATCAGCTGCAGACCAAAGCAATGTTGTGGCACGTTCCGTACCGTCATAAACAAATTAATCAGAAACACTAAATGTGCATATTTCACAGTATGCGTGCTGTTACCTGTTTTTATGAAATTACAGAAAAGAAGAAAAATAAATCGTAGGAGAAACAAAGTTTTGTTGGTAAACTGTTAAAACGCATTAAACCTAAATATCACAATTTTACTTTTTTTTTTAAAATTAAAAAACTGTTTCATTTTTTAAAAAAGTAGGAGTGACTCTTCGCGAGAGATACAATGTTTGTAAGCAAGACACAACAACAGCCATAATTCAGCCTAATTGCCAGCCAAATTAAGCCCCAAACCTTACAAAACGTCGCCTATCTAGACAAGTGGGGTCCACAGCATAGGTCATTGTTTAGCTCTTCTGCCATTTCGCTACCTTAGAATTACAAAGCTCTGTCTGACATTTTTGGCCGTTTTAAGTTACTAAGATCATGAGGTCAGAAACCAATAGTTCTTTCTGCTCTATCAAAATTTCAAGATTTTTCGGAGTCGCTGTCAAGACGTTCAAAGAATTGCATTTGAAACAGCTTGACATGTTGGGAATCTCTAAATTTTTAAATGTCAAAATTCTCAAAACTAGGTACTGAGCAGATAAGAACTTTTTAATTCTACGATAGAGGCATGGCACTCGTCAGCAGTACGTTCAGAACCTGAACTCAATGGGATTCTAGCCGAATTCCTGCAGGCCTTGTTTGTTTTGTACTTGATGTTTTTATTATTTTTGTTATTGTACAAAGGATCGAACTAAGAGAGGGGGGCTCTGGAGGCCAAGAAGTTAAGGTGTTTGCCTCTCATCCAATTGGTCCCGGTTTCGAATCCGGACAGCTACGGAAAAATTTCTTCTTTAAAATTTTCTCCTTTCACACCCTGTCCTGCTCTCTGACAATATTTTGTTGTCTGCTTTCATCTCCACTTTCTTGCCACACTATCCCACCTCCTTTGCCCCCCTCCTCTGGACTCCTGACTCTTTCTGCAGCCTTTCTACTGTTTCTCCTTGGCTCTTTCTTACTGCTGTCTTTCAGCCACACCTGTGATCTTATGATAGGTAAGATCTACACCTAGCCTTCTTGTAAAAGGACGAAAAATCTCGGAGGTCCCATGTGCAAGTTGTGCACGTTAAAGATCCCTTGGTAGTTCAAAACCGATAAGAGCAGGCCTTGGCCGCCACCGGGCAAAATTCAAAATTTCATACCTACTGAAAATGTTTAATGTGTTCCTTGCGCTCATATGACCTTTAGCAGTTGCGAGCTCCGTAAAACACTTACAAAAAAAAAAAAGAAATAAGAGAACCAGCGTTTGTGTTGTAGAGGTTAGGCGCTTCACTGTCCCAAGCCGGAGACTCAAGTTCGATTCCTGAGTGGGAAGAAAATTTGTTATCGAGTATCTCGGTCTTTCTGCTGTGACTACTTGCAACACCCTTGACAAGGGCCAAAACAATGCCGTTCGTTTTATAAATGGTACCATGAGATCCACACCCACCGCCGCACATGAAAGCCTTTGAAAAGTCGAACCCTGGGAATCCGCAGAGATAAAGCAGTTTTGGAGCTACATGAAAGAACTAAAAGAATGTGCCCCAACCACCCAAACAAAAAATTAGTAGAAACATGGAAACCAAAGAAACGAATTCAACAAAAGTCAATCATGCATCACATCACAGAACTAATGGAGAGTCCCCATCTACCACAAAACAGAAAAGAAACCAAAAGAGTCAACCAAAACACCCCTCCCCAACTTCCTTTTAAAAGCCAATTATTACAACATCTCTCAGAGAAAAAAAGCTCAAAATCTTCAGACCCAGTGACGCTGATGCTTGCATCACATCAAACAATCGACAGCTATTCAAATGACTGGATACACGTCTATACGGACGGCTCAGCGTTCAAAGGCACAACCAAAGCCGGATATGGAATACTAATACAGTACCCAGATGGAAGCTCAAATGAGATCTCTGCAACCTGTGGAGAGAAATGCAGCAACTACGAGGTAGAAAAGATGACAACTGAAACAAATTGATTGTACCATCTCCGCACAGTTTTTGACACTAATCATGGAAAAGCACAGAGTATTGTGATTTTCACTGACTCACTATTAGTCTTACAAGCCATAGAAAATAACCATCATCTAAACCAAGATTTGACTCATATTACTGTCTGGCTTCCATCATCTGATAACATTCTGTGGCATCAACCTAGTAATGCAGTGGGTCCCCCGACACTCAAACATACCTGGAAATGACAGACGGGACACACTTGTCAAACGGGGATCTAGACACGAACAACCCAAGATTCCAACTTCATACAACACTGCAAAACAAATCATTAAAAGCAACAACAAACAAGATTGGATGAACAGATGAGCCCTGGGAAAGACAGGCACAGCAGTTTTCAAACATATGACGACAACAAAAAGGAATTACGATGTCAACCACATACAGAGGGAAAAAACAGACCATGATCTTCCGCCTACGAACAGAACATATACAGCTCAACTTCCACCTGAACAGAATAAACCCGGAACTTCCTCCAATGTGTCCCTTGTGTAACTATGCATATGAGACTGTGGATCATCACCTGTTCTACTGCACAACCCTAAATGACATCAGAGCTACCCTTCTCCCTCCGAGACCTAACATGGACAACACACTCTATGGAACATTACAGCAACTGCAGCAAACCTGCACTTATCACTACTTGGCATTGGACAGAAGGGCGAGAGCCCAGCTGTTGCTGGATCGATAACAACAACAACAACAACAACATCTGCTGGGATGTATCCTTCTCAGCTCGAGCTGGCTGTGACATGCAGGATCAGAAGCCTGCCTCCTAAATTATCTAAATTGTGTTGATTAGGGCGCTGAAACACCTGCTTGCACTAAACAACGAAATAGGAGATTTACGAGTAGATTGCTCTCATAGTTGATGAGTTAGTTGTAAAAAGAAAAACGTGGAAATGTATATTCGGAGGATAGGAAAAAGAGCAATGTTATTTAAAAACAACAACAATAAACCAACAGAAAAATACTAGCCCAAGGAACAGTGAATATGCCAAGTGAGTAAATTTGCTTGATGGTATTGATCATGTCATCGATACTCAATAGGCCTAAATAAATACTCGTTAACCATGTTATTTTATTTATAACTAGCGCCCACTTTTGCTACCTCAATAATTCTGTTGATGGTGGCCTTAAATCTATACACTTATTTTGTCCCACCTCTGACAGGGGCATGCGTTACTTGCTCTGTATGTATCGTCGAGCACTGGGCAACGATGCGGCCACAAAGGTTCGGTGCCTATCTGGCGTTAATGTGGACCTATAGCCTCGCGAATAATATGCCATAAAAACACCATCCAATAAAAATGACGTGCTCAATTTTTAAAGAAAATGTATGTGTTTTATACCCCTATCGAAACAATATTACTTAGATCGTTTAGAAGGCGGGTGTCCGACCTTGCCTGTCAGGCCAATCCGGGCTAAGAGGGATACCGAGATATTCAACAAGAAAAATATTCCCATCTGGGAATCAAATTCGGGTCGACTGTGTACAATGTCGAAGCTCCTAACCACTTAACTACACCACAGGCAAGGGTAACTTGTATCATGTTTCACTGGTTTAAATAATGGTTGCAAAATACACAGAGCGTGTAGTAGTGCAGGGAAATGTCTTCTTCTTCTTCTTCTTCTTCTTCTTCTTCTTCTTCTTCTTCTTCTTCTTCTTTTTCTTCTTCTTCTTCTTCTTCTTCTTCTTCGTCTTCTTCAACAACAACAATAACAACAAAAACAACAACAACAACAACAGCAAGAACGCCAGCAACAGCAGCAGCGGTAGCAGCAACAACAATAACAATAACGATGGCAACAACAGCAACAACAATAACATAATATAAAAAAAACCCAAAGACAACAACAGCAAAACAACATCAACACAAACAACAACAACAACAACAACAACAGCAGCAACAACAACAACAAAACAACGGCAATTCAGACAGACGCAACTTCCGTAATAAAAACGGCAACAAGAAATAATTATCGTTGTTTGTAAAACTACACTGGCTCTCGTCTTTGATAAATGATTATCGAAACAGATTACTATCAATCTGCAGCCGAGTATGATGGCAATCTTCATCTACCCGATTTGTCGTGCTGTCAATAACATGTTCAACATTGCAGTGGGAAAGAGATATCAATAAAGTAACTCAATAGACATAAATGTTATTTACATATTTAATGGACATGTTAAAGTCATGTAGGCACTCATATCACATTGTCACTTGTTTGGTGACATTTTGCGTACAAGTCACGTAATGTCAGGGAGGTTTATTCATCTGTAGATCAGTCATTTGTTCATTAATGCTCTCTGACACTCATGTGAAGATGAATGCAAGCAATATATTATAATTCTACATTCAAGGAGGGGAAAAGATCCATATTATAATATTATGCTATACTTCACTTCAAATATTATAACAAGGTGTGCCTCTCTATGTAACTAAATGCTTGAATCATAATGCATCATCATCAAATCAGTTAAAACTGAACATTCCAACTCGCAGTTTAAAGTCATCAGCTGATAAGAACAAATTACTTTGACTATCAATGGAACTTAAAATAACTGATGAAAAAGCATACCATGACCAGTACCATGGCCTCAAGATCTGGAATACTTTTCTCGGTAATTAAAAAAAAAAATCTAATTCAAATACCAACTTAAGTTATTTAAGGTTTTAAATTAATACAATTCATTACGCAGAGAGATTTTTTAGTCAGAACACTATGGACTGTTTATGCATTGTTATCCCATTTGTAAATCACCTGAGGTCTTTTGATGGGGGCTGTCATGCATTATTATAGTTTTATTTTTACTACGAGTTTCCGAGAGGACAAAAAATATGTCGGTGGAAAATGACCAGTAATGATTTGAAGTCATCAATGCTGCTTTCCTTCTTGTCTGCGATGTTGGGTCTAATCCTGCCAGAACTCAACATCTCGATCTCTTGCCAGAAATTCGGGCAGAGGTTTGCCTGCAAAACTCACTTCATCACACGCCGGCTTTGAAAACACTATCAAGATGCTGGGGACATAACAAAAGTAAGTATATTATGATTAGCTGTGTTTCAACAGAGAAAACATCAATCAGCTTTAATGGATTGTTCACTTCCGTCTTTTTGTTGTTAGAACAAGATTAACCCTTACTATAGGGACAGCTGTTCCTCCTTTGTATGTTGCCATATTGAATTTTCTACTAAGTTTTTCATCATCATACACCTCTTTATTATCCCGCTCCTAATTAACCCGTTTGCATAAAATAAACATCCACATGAGGAGAACTTACAAATCCAAACAGCAGACATAAATTTTATTACAGAGAAGATGAATTTGCTGAGATTTGGTAGAGTTTTGTTATGGCTGTAAATAACTGGATTTTGCCATGAAGCTGAAGTGGCGCGCAGTACAACGAGAGTTAAAACAAATCACTCTTTTTAATTTAATTTTTTTTTCCAAGCCGAGTTGCCTAACCACCAGGATCTAAAAGTACAATATTGAAGGCCACTACAAACTAAATTTCCGACACGTTTTCTATGATTTAAACTCGAATCAAGTAAAAAAAAATTTAAAAAGGGGGTTTACAGCCTACACCTAAAACATCAAATCATTGATCTATTTTCATTGACACTACACTTTAACGATAACACGGTCCAACAGACGGTGATTTCTTTCAGGACACTGTGTATGATTGTGTGTACGTGAGAGTGAGTGAGTGAGTGTGTGTGTGAGAGAGAAAGAGTGTATGTCTGTATGTGTGTGTGTGTGTGTGTGTGTGTGTGTGTGTGTGTGTGTGTGTGTGTGTGCACGCGCGTGCACGCACGTTTGTGTGTGAGTAAGTGTGTACGTGCGTCTGTGCGAGTCCTTCAAACAGTTAGCAACATTGACTTTTATTGGCCTTGTGATCCCCTTATGAGAGAGCCTTAAGTGATTATTACTTGCCAAGTGCGACAACCGATGTGCGTCTTCCTGGCCACTGTTTCCACCAAATTCAGATTATCTGTACAAAACTTTTCCTCAAACGAACACTTGACCTGTCGCATTTTTTGTTCTTCTACCTACACATATCCCTGTTCAAACCTCATATTTCGGGTACATGTTTTGAAAAAAAAATTAAGATGCCCAGCATTGAAGCGCCATCTTACGAGTTTATTTTGGTTATGTCTGTATAAGTTTACATCCTACATGTTTTCTTCTAGTAGTTGAATTTAAAAAAAATGTACCCTGATCAAATTCCAAGATTTTTCAAAAGTAGGAAGAAACGAAAAATATGATGAGTGTAAGGTGAAATGGTGCCATGTCGCACAAAGCATGTTGTCTATATTACAAGACAACCTTTACTCACTAAGAAACTCAATTGGAGGCTCCAGTGGCCTAGTGAGTTGTGAGTTTAGGCTCAAGAATAAAGTCAGGCAAGTGCCGGTGAAACGGGGATCAGATGGGTGGTCTCTGGGGTGTGTCCTTGAGCAAGACACGACAACCCGAGCTAAAAAATCAGGGCGCTGCACAGTGGCAACCGGCAGTGGCATGGTTGTAAGATTTTTCTGCATTGGTGTAATATATTATACTTGTATATATATGTATGTATTTATGTATGTATGTATTTATAATTATGTATTTATGTGTATGAGGGTGTGGTGGCTGAGCGGTTAGTGCGCTCGTCACCGAAGCGGAAAGCCTCGGTTCGGACACTCATGTTTTTCGCCCCCTCCTGCCCACCCAGCAATGATGAGTACCTGACTTCGAGTTGGGGAAGTGAAAGAGGCGTGGAAAGGAACTGCCATCCCTACCACAATATGCCGAAGACCCAGGAAGTTGTCTCACTAACAAGGCAATCCCCAATGTTCGGATCGGATGCGGGAACAACTTTACTTTTTTTTATTTATGTGTATATGTATGTTTGCCATTGTAAACCAGATCGCCCTCCTGAGATCAATAAAAATGTAATTTGATTTCATTAATTAAGTTTCACTTAGTCACCACTGGAAAAGCAGTAAGATATCACTTAGGAAGGAATAGACCTGAAAGCTTACCTCTCTAAGGAAACGTTCAATGTTGTACTTAAGAATTCAGCAATGGCTTTGTGTAACCGTGGCATTGTATCTCTGTGAAGGCGATTGACGGCCGCCAGTGAAAGCAGAATAGTCGGGTTAGTGGAACCGCCATTGGTCATGTCTTTTCCGAATTCAAGGGTTATGATGACTCTCTGAAACAAGAGGAATAGTGAACTTTATTTATCGTACACAATAATATATGTCATAGCACACATGGTGGATGAAATCAGGCGTTTGTCGAAATACTTCACTCCCCGCAGTTCATGCAGTACTGGCTGGTAATGTTTTCTTTTGCCCACAAAATACATTTACTTTCATAAATGAAGATTTTGTAAGGATTTTTATTTTAAAAAATGACCCAACTGACTAAAGAATATAAAATAGATATTAAACTTGATGATTTTATAATAAAATGCTAGCTCTCAAATTACGCGACTCGACAGCATCAATTCCTATGTTCCGTCCTTCATGTATGAATTTTTCGCGTTGTCGCGAAGCTCACGGATGCTTTTACACCAAAGGTAAGACAAATAAACAGGCAAGACGCCATACGCCCAAAAATTAACGAACGCTTGATTTCACCACGTTGTGACGTACATGTAAGATCCAGAGGGACACAATTGAGGTTATTAAGGGACATGTCGCTTCGATCCTAACTGCTGCGGCCAACTGTGGTTGAGTTAGACGTAGCATTCCAACAAAATGACGGATATATTTTATGAAATTTATATTCTTTCCCTCTGTTGTTTCCATCCATCTTGTCTTTCTATTTATGGAAAATTCGCCCTAACCGAAATTTCCACACTGATACAAAATATGACATACAAGAAAAACACATAGGATGCTCCTCTCGGATTTAAACCCCAAGCCTCTGTATGTTGGCAAAGGTTGCAACGAACGGTCCTTAAGCAGATGGCATGTGCCTTTTCTACAAAAGCAGATTAAGTTTCCAAATCTTTGCTTACACAGTCTGGATAAATGTTCGTGACGTTTCACACCCGTTTTCACAAAGTCTGGAGACATAATCGTCTGTCTGTGAAAGGACCGAGCTAGCACCAGAGAGCCATAAACACTCTCTGAAAAGACCTTGTTCCCCTCTACATTATGGATCGAAATGTAAGGCTCTTTTCGTCTATGCAGATTGCCAATTTAGCTTAAGATGGTCTCAAGGTTGTGTTCATGCGGTTTCTTTCATGGCTAATTCTTCCTATGTTTGAAGCGCAGATTCTGTCGCAGTGCTTGCATGTCAGTGACGTGGATCGAAGCTCTGTATTTCCGCTGTTTTCCTTTCGTCGTTGGCGCTTCTCAGCCTGGTTGTTTCTAAGGCTGCTCTCTAGCAATATAGTTCTTTCCTTTATCATTTTCCTCCATGTTTTCCTGTCCTCAGCTATTTCTTCCAGGTGCTAACATCGACTCCAAGCTTAGAGAAGCTATTTTTGCAGGTGTCTTTGCACCTCAATGTTGGTCTTCCTCTTGGTCTCTTTCCCCGAGCAAGTTCTCCAAAGACAAGTTGCTTTGGAATCCGGTTGTCGTCCATTCTCTTCAAATGGCCAAGCCATCTCAATCTTTTTAAACACAGGGTAGCTGTCATGCTCTGGAGGTTTGCCCGTGCCAACACTTCAACATTTGTACAGGCCTTGTCACACCACGAAATGCCTACGATCTTGCGGCAGCATCTGAGGTGGAAAATTTCCAGGAGCCTTTCTTGCCTGCTGTACAAGGTCCATGTTTCAGATCCATAAAGGAGTTTGCTGGGGACACATGCTTCGTAAATCTTGATCTTTATTTTAACATTATGGATCCAGATAGACCCCCGAATTTCGATATAGTAGTCTGCATCCAAACCATCTTTGAACATAATATCATAAGAACATTACGTGAAACACACAGAGACGAAAATCATTGTCTTTTAACAAATATTGACGTGTTTTTATGGTGTGTAATAATGTCTTTAACATTTAATTTTTCTGTCAAAAGTTGATATTTCTTAGTTAAAGATCTTATTCCATGATTTTGTCGGTTACTAACCCTTAAGTTATAACTGAAGGATCGTTTAATAAGACAGACCTATTTTTAAAAAAAAGTAAGCTATGTATTTTTTAAAAGGACAATCTAAAGAATGGTTAGATGAAAAGAAATGGGGTTGACAGCTCCACACGTTAACTCACCGGAGTTTTGAGAAGATCTTTGAGGAATTCAAAAAACTTGCCCTGGAAGTCTGGGCTGGCGCTGGGGAGATTCGACCGTACTGTGACAATAGGCATCTTTGATCTGTGGAATATACCGTATGTCTGTGACTTTATGCAGGCCCAACAAGTGTAAGCAAAAAACTACAAGCAAAGCAAAAACAAAACAAAACACCCCCCCCCCCCCGCCCCCACCACCACCACCACCAAAAAACAAACAAACAACAAAACCACTACCTTAGAATTACGAAGTTCTATCTGACAATTTTGGCGGTTTCGAGTTAATAAAACAATGAGGTCGTGGCTACTCACTTGTAGTGGCGAAGCGTCTATATAATCAAATAATCACTGATTCTCTCCCGAAATTTGGAAACACGGTTGTCGTCAACTGCATCATAAACGAATGCCTAAAAATTTTAATTTGATCCGTGTGCACAACTCTAAAAACTGTTTCATTGCACCAAAATACCCAGTGTACCCCTTTCAGCCATATTTTATAAGCAACCAGAAGAACAACTAACAAATAAATTGATGGCGTCTACTTCAGAACCTTGGGGGAGGGGGGAGCTAACTCCTATAACTCCTAATAATTTCGTGGGGCTTTATCCTCGACTTTTTTTTACCGCTCTAAAATGAGTCACGATTGTAATTTCCTGGCCACGAAAACCTAGCCTTGATAAAGGCGACCAAATTTGAAACCAGATTGTTAATACATAGTTTGTAATAGTATTATCTCCGTTTATTTGCCTTCTGTTTATGTATTCATATCTTTAATTAAATCTGCACTTGAGATATCTTGAAACCATTATTCCCATCGAGCGTTAAAAAGTTATAATTATATTTTGCTCAAAGTGGGGATAAAATTATGAAATGAGATATCTTCTCGATTATTTTGGAGGATGAATATTCACAACACAGTGATGTCACCTCCAAAGAGAGGTTCCTAAAGTGGGAAAGTTTTTCGTGTGTGCCCTCATTTCTACCTAATTCCTTGTCTCATATTGATTACCCTTCCAAACAAATCAGCCTTCGCTCTTGCATACATGCTCTAAAGTACAAATGACATTTGAGGAATAAAAATTCACACCAACGTTTTTGTGCACTGTGATGTCAGTTGGTGCGATGCTGACCCACAATACGGACGGACCTGGTTCCAATCTTTAAAGAGAATGATGATCTTGGACGCAGTATATTATTTCTGAGAGTTTGGAAGCCTACTAGCTCAGTTCTATCACCGATTGACTGTGAATGAGACGCCCCCACCCGCCACCTGAAAAAAAATTCGTCGCCATTTAAATGACTTACAATATTGGTACAATACTGTGCCATTTCTTGCAGAAAGCACTGATCGTCTTACCGCTCCTGTGGTGTCACAAACAGTTTGCCAAACTTAGAAATAACCTACACGTCTCTTTGGCAGGTCTTTCCTAATAATTTGCACCTCAACAGCTTTTTTAAAATTCGGTACAAGATATTTACACCAAAAAATCTATAACTTAATAAACTTTAGACTCTTTTAATAAGCAGTGTCGAATAGGAAAACAATAAAACTTTCTTTCAAATCTATCGGTTGCTAACACACAATTTAGCACTGAAATGTAACCAAATTTAACATCATGTTTCTTATCTTGATTCTAACCCCCCCAACTAAAACAAACTAAAGCATAATAATTTTGCTATGTTCTTTCTTGATCAGCATTTAAGTCCTCCAGACGTTATTAAGTGAAAGTCACTGTAATGGAAACAAATAAACAAACAACCCTGGAAATGAGCGCGTTTTATTTTATGCTGTTAATAATCTATATTCTCTTGAGCTAACGAGGACATATATTACACCCAGTTGCATTTTTTTTGGATTGCACAAATTTTAACTATAATAAAAAAAGAAAGAAGAAAGCTCTATGAAATAACCTTTCTTATGAATTAGAAATTGTTAGAAAATGTCGGTATTAAAAGAAATCATGGCACAATATATAATATAAAATACAAAAATACACACTCAAAAGAAGAACAAGCAAAACGTACCTAAAATCTGTCTGTTTGCTTATCCTTGCAGCCAAACACAAGAGTTCCTGCGATCAGATCAAGCTCTCGGCTTTGAAGTTTCAATTCTCAGAGAACGGAAGGACATACGTGAGCTTAGACGACTGGAGACTAATGGGCTGGCACAAGAGTTCTTGGTTTAAATGAGTTTTACTGGCCCACTAAACTGCATGTCATTCAGCGACAGGAATATCCTGAAACATTCCGTACAATCTA